AACGATATAGGTCTATAGTTGGTTATGTCCGAGATGTCCCCAGTTTTAGTTTTTAGAATTGGTACAACAATAGTCCTCATTATATTATTAGGTAGATATCTATGTCATAGGCACAGTGAAAAGAACAAACCCAAAACCCTAGGAAGATGGCCACCAGCATGTTGCAAATTCTCAATGCTAAGATCATCATACCCAGGCAACCTCCCCTTTTTATGTTCATAATTACTGCACCCACATGTTTAGCTGTGAAGCGAACCGGGTTTGTGTCGGAGGGGACTTCCGTGTAGGTTTTACCATTTATGGGTCCTAAAGGAGAGTCAACATTAAAATATTGCATAAAATGGCAAATTTAATTTAGTAGCAACCACAAAAATTTTAAAAGTAGCTAGATTTGCTACTGGAGTATAAATATCTTGAAAGCTGAACAAATCATTTTGCTCAAAACCCCTTGCTACTAACCTAGCTTTATATTGATTTGTATTTATAATTTTGAATACCTATTTAAAATTGTTCATCTGTCATTATGATATATCCTTTGTCTGTGGCTCGATTGACCAAGAATATATTATTTTCAAGTCAGGTACAAACAGAACGTTGTTTATGGTTGTGTCGATCCATTATGGAGCCGTACTGCCATCTCTCCGCATCCAAACACACTAATTGAGACGCCGTTACCGACCCTGACTATCTTTTTTTGCAAACTATTTGTAAATTGTGTAAACAATGAACTATCACAACACACGTGTTCATCTGCACCAGAGTCAGCCGTTTAAATTATTGATAATATCCATACACTGTATTGGATACCACGAATGCATTACTTTTCTTATTACTGTCAAGTTTACTATTGTTCTTATTTTTCTTGAACCAACATTGCGACTGAAAATGTCCGACTTTACCACAATAAAAACATTTATTATTTCTGTTTTCTTCACAGTTTTTTTTAACACTTGTAACACTTAATCTGGAAATATCCTTCTTTCCCGCACTTAAAACAGTTTTTAGACCTTTTATTTTTTACCACAAAAGCAGACAACGATGAATTTTGCCGGAGTTCTTCGTTTTTACCATTTCTTCTTCTATTAGTAATCTCGCCACTGTGTTCTCCAAAGTTTGCTTGTCAACAAGAGATAATTCCCATGCCGAAATAAAATCTTTATAATATTCAGCAACAAAAGTATTTTTGTTATGATAAGTTTTTCTGATATTTCATTACCCATTTTCGTTAGTTGGCACTGCAGTTCTTGAATTTTTGACAATAATACAGACATATAGGAACCTTTTTCATATTTGTACCGGAAGAATTTTTGTTGTACCATGTGAATGTTAGTCTCCGTTTTTTCTTCACACACACTTTGTAATGTTGTAATATTTCTCCACATATCCGCTGATGTCAAACAAGAAATGATATGTAGTATCACATTTGCGGTAATTCGCGTAACTAATTAGGTCTGCGCCTTGGCATCCTTATTTTCCCACGCTGTTTTCTTAACATTTTCTTCGGGTTTCACACGTAGACCCTATACTATATCCAGTCAACGTTGTCCGCGCAACAATATTCTCCTTTGAATATCCCCACATTTCAATTTCTGGAACCTTCCAATTTTAACTTGTTTACCTTTTGATTGTATTCCAACTTTTGTTCTACCGTCATGCACAATATGGCGACATCAAAACCTCAAACTGCCGGTTAGTCGGAGTGCAGTAATTCCACAACTTTTATTTAATCCTGAGCTGTTTATGTGCCTGGGCCCATAACTTATTGAAGTTAAATAAAAAAATTTGATATTTGTAACTTCATTTCAAACACATTATTGAATACATGCGCTGAGACAAGTATAATAAACGAGCGTTAACCATTGATAATAACAGAGCGGGGTGTCCAACATAATAACTAACCACTAACTAAACAGTGCTACCACCTATATAATTTAAATGTAATTATATTGACACTTTACAACAATACGTCTATCGGCGAGTTTTCACCATTCCAAGGTACCTCATAAAAGTCCCAGAAGTCATCACCACTCGCATAACTCCATTGACCAGAACCACAAGTTTCATCAAATCAGGCGGAGATACACCCGGAGATCCATCAAAAGATGCAATACCGCAAGGAATAAAAAACATCAATGCAACTACCATACGGATGGCGCTCTCTCATAACATGAAATCTATTGACTTTGGTAACAAAATTACGTTGTACATAAAATACGTTGGTACTATTTTTAGTCAACCTGTTGTTAACTAAAAATAGTACCAACGTATCATTGTAGCACGCTTCTAATATGCCAGTATCCAAAAATCCTATTGCACTAAGACATGGAGTTGTTACACTTAAAAGTGCTACCAAATGCACTCCCCTAATCCAAAAGATAGTCGACGTATCATAACGCTATGAGCTAAGACATTTCCCGTAAACTGTAAGAATATGCGATGTCCACGGGCACTAAAGTGATACGTTCAGGACATATCGGTTAGCGTGTCCAAGTTTACCTCGATCTCAGACACTGTAAAGAAGTCTACACGCCACTAAGTCTTTTATACCTGCTCGATAAGACGTGTATACCACACGTCTAGCTTGTATCGAGAAGGCAAAAATGCTTTTCTATTGTTGTGTTAAGTTAAGGAATAACTTAAAAAGCATCTTAAAATGCTTACTAGTTACAAAGCTAAAGAGGTTGTGCTGTAGATTGAGAATTTAAAATAAAATAAAATTAATGGCGATAAAGTTCAACAAAAAGTGTGAAATTATTTAATTCTTTTTAGTTATTTGAATTCAGTTTTAACTTTTATTTAAAGCAAAAATATTAATTACGCCCCTTGAATAGAAATATATGTTCCACTTATAGCCTTCAAAGTGTTATAATTACTAAATTCATCATACAAGTTTTCTTTATAAAGCAATATTTTTTTTAAATGAGGGTGACAAACGAATACACACTTCACTTATTGGCAACCGGATACTGAAACCCATATACATCCAGATCTAATGATTAAGAATCAAAATGGAGATCATTTTCACATCTGAGGATTCAGTTAGAATGCCTCGTTTCCAGTAAAATTATCTTTAGTTGTATCACTAAAAATAAAGAAACGAGGAGATACGAGTTCACCGTACGAAATACCAGCTGTGTTTCGTATGGTGAGTGTATCACTAGAGATATCCTGTAATATCGTGATACGTGACAGTGTACAGTGCAAGTAGATGCATTATTTAACGGCCGTCCGAACAGGGGGTGGCGGGCCCCGTCTCTAACGGTTAACTCGTGTCGTTCGATGTTCTGGGCGGTGAGAACCACCCAAGGACGCGGGTGTACGATGTATACGCGTTGTTGAAGGGTGTGCGGCGCGCACGTCTGCGGATCTGCTTTGTCCTATCCGTAGTCCTATGAGTGTGACGGGCCGGCGACAACTGTGTTGTCAGAATCTAACGGAACAGGGGGTTCAATTAAAACGTTGCGGGGCTTCCGGAAGCTTTGTTTAAAGTTTTGAGTCGGAGCGTAGTTTGTTGCATTTACCACTATCGGGTTGGGATGTATCTTAGCACTCTCAAAGTAGCGTCGAGACATTTCCTTGAAATTTTCAGAGATCTTCAGGAATTGACAATATCTGCGCAAGTCTGAGTTTTGCTGGTACCACCGAGTTCCGGTTGTGATTTGAAAGAATCTGTTTTGGACGACTTGGAGGTCGTTCAGATGTTTATGAGCTGCTTGTACAAATGTTACGCTTGCGTAGGACATGATAAGTCTAACGCAAGCTTTGTAGAGGTGGAGCTTATGTCTTAGAGACAATTTGCTCTTAATGCTAATTAGCCTAGAGTATTTTCGGATTTAGGTCGCGACGATTGAGGAAGGGTTTTGTTTTGAAAGTATATCGCTATACTTTTTTTCGGGGTTCACTTCAACTCTCCACAAGCGAAACCATTCTCTTAAGCGCAAGGCGGCTCTTTGGAGCATCACTGTGAGATATTTCTTGTGGGAATCAGAGACGTAGAGTGCCGTGTCGTCTTAAAAAAGAGCTGTGTTACCAACTGGGTCCTTCGGGGTATCATTCCTGTTGAGTGTGAAGAGGAACGGATTGAAACGGAGCTCTGTGGGACTTTAGCGGTGGATCCGACCATAATATAGCTGCAGCATTACTCTACTACTTACAGTGTTTTTTTAAATGATTATGAGATAATAATAAAGATAATTATTCTTATCTTACGTAACATTCACCACACATAAATAGAAAAGCAATAATAAAATTATTATTTAATCAACGCCGGCATTATCAAGCTCAGCTGAGCTTGAAATATTATGAATATACTAACCACACTGATCATAGTTAAACACCTTGATTTTGTAGAAAACAATCTTAAAACTTCATAAGCCGATTAAATTGGTGCCTCGAAACTTATCAATTATCCTTTCATGACACGAATAATATATAATAATAATAATAATAATAATAATAATAATAATAAATAGGCGTAGGGAAGTGACGACCCCATCGCCCGCTGACGTAACAGTTATGTGACAAAACTACTACGTCGGCGCAGTCAGTCAGCGCCCTGCCAAGAGGTGTGAGCGCCGTGCCTAGGCAAAATTGTGGGTGCAAAGGTCCGTTTGTGCATAAGACCGAACCACGAAACGGTGCCGGGCTTGGGCGTCTCCCGTTATTTGGCGCCCATAAATGGATGATGGTACAAAGAGGAACGCGCATAGGGCCGCTGCCTGGGGGTCGCCGGGGCGCGTCTGGAGCTGGCGCTGGACGCGGCAGCATGCGGGCCGCCAGCCGAGCGCGAGGAGCTGTACGATCACCTAGCAGCCCTCCGCATCCATCATCCCCACCAGAAGGCTTGGTGTCGGCTGGGTCTTCTCGGACTCAGCAAGCGGCACCCGCCGCTGGTGGAGCACGTCGCATGCGTTGGTCACAAACAATGAACGCAAACGCACTGCGGGCGTACTTTAGGGCAAAAAGGGGAAGAAACCGGATGTTTGGCATATCGGGCTCGGATGCATCGCTTTTTTGCAGAGCTGGAGCCATCTCTATCCGTCACTGAGCAAAACCTGGCAGACCGAGTTCGGTACATCCTGCGCTCCAACATATTTGGTGACGCCGAACTCGAACGACTACGACGTGAGGCTGTTCCCTCATCGGATGGAAATGCTACGGCTGGGAATGCGGCGCCACTAATTGCGCAGCAAACTGCAAATGTGGACGCTGCCGTCAATATTCCATTTGTAGTTGATTCAGACGATGATGGAATAGTCCCCCACGAACTAGAGAAAATGAGGAGCATATTGGAAGAGTCGATGCTGGAAACGCGCAGCATGCCTCTCGAAAATCGACCGCGACTTCCCCCGCATACCCCTTAGCAAGCGAAATCGGGCTGTCGTGCGGGCTCTTAACCCAATGCTGGTGACCTATTTGGAAGCCAGCCGGGACCTTTGCGAGACGGACTCTATTCTTTTTGGCGCCGCACTGGCAGTATGCCGTATTATTGGCGCCAAACTTCCCATGGCTGGACGTGCTACTCAACAAGGTAGTGCCATCCCAGCCTGGAGAAAAAGAATCGAGGACCGTATCGCAAAGGCAAGGGCCCTTATCGGCAGACTGACAAGCTTCAGGTCGGGTAATATTAGACCGAGAGTTGTGCGCACCGTTAGAATGGCGTTTGCTGGGACAAATATTAGTTTGTCCCAGCCGGATATCACGCAGAAACTAACGGAGCGCATAGATGACCTGAAGCAAAAAATCGCTGCTTGGGGGAAGCGGATTCGACGATTTAGCGAGAGGTCAAGGCGGTTCAACCAAAATCGTCTCTTCCAGAGTGATCAGAAGAGGCTCTATAAATCATTGGAGCGACCAGAGGTATGTGGAGCGGGCCCAGGACCGGATCAGGCTGACACTGTCGCATTTTGGCGTGGCCTGTGGTCAGAGCCCGTAAACCACAGCGAGGGCCCTTGGATGGAAGTTGTGGCGAGCCGGAGTGCAAGTGTTACGCCTATGGACCCCGTCACCATAACGCCTGAAGACGTGGCTGAGGCGGTCCGTAGGGCCCCGAACTGGAAAAGTCCGGGGCTCGACGGACTGCATCATTACTGGCTGAAGGGGTTCGTAGTGTGTCACGCTGTGCTCGCCCGACAGTATCAAGAGGCTCTCGATCAGAAGTCGCTCCCGAGCCTCTTCACTACTGGGATCACTCACTTGGTTCCTAAAGATCAGGATACCACAGACCCGAGCAAATACCGCCCCATCACGTGTCTACCCACTATATATAAGACACTGACATCCATTTTGAGCGCGAGAATCACTCGTCACCTGGAGCTAAATAAGGTGATGTCACGCGCTCAAAATGGATGTCGGGGCGGTGGTCGTGGAACCAAGGAACCACTCCTCATTGACGCGGTCATTGGCAAAGTGGTAAAACGCAACCGTCGGAACTTCTCCGCCGCCTGGATAGACTACAGAAAAGCATTCGACTCGGTGCCCCATGCATGGCTAAAGAGGGTCCTCGAGCTGTACAAGATTGACTGTACAGTTAGAGACTTCCTCGAGCAGTGTATGGGGCAGTGGAGTACGATCCTCTGTTATCAGGGCGAGCGGATGATGGCTGCGGAGAACCACATAAGGATAAGAAGGGGTATCTTCCAGGGCGATTGTCTGAGTCCAATCTGGTTCTGCCTCTCTCTGAACCCTCTCAGTACCTTACTGGAGGGCTCCGGGAGAGGATTTCAGCTACGGAAAGGAGGAACAAAAGTGACCCACCTTTTCTATATGGATGACCTCAAGTTATTCGCCTCCAGTCGCTCCCATCTTATGGAATTGCTAAACATCACTTGTGAATTTAGCAATTCCATTGGAATGGAGCTGGGGACGGATAAGTGTGCGGTCCTTCATGTTGAAAGGGGAAGGGTTGCTAACTCTGAGGGCATAGATTTATCTATGCCCGTCAACTTAAAGACCCTTTCCGAGGCTGAAACATACCGATACCTGGGTATGTCACAGAACATCGGTATCGATGAGGCTGGTGTGAAACAGTCAGTTTGCGACGTGTTTTATGCACGCTTGACCAAAGTGCTTAACAGCCTTTTGTCCGGTGTGAATAAGACACACGCATATAACGGTTGGGTCATGCCTGTCCTCATATATACCTTTGGCATACTCAGGTGGACTCAGACCGAACTTAACGCCCTGGATAGAAAAGTCCGCACTACCATGACGTCCCATAGGATGCATCGTCCGAGATCGTCGGTAATGAGGCTGTACTTGCCGCGAAAGCATGGTGGGCGTGGTTTTATGAGCGCGCTCACCATGCATAATCGCGAAGTGTGCAGCCTCCGTGATTACTTCCTGGCGAGATCGGATGATCCATTCTATAATGACGTCATTTCTAGTGATAAAGGGCTTACCCCTCTATCCTTAGCCCACGAGCAATGGCAGGACCCAGCAGTGCTTAGCATTTCCGACCGGGAGACCGTATGGAAGGAGAAGGAGCTCCACGGGAGGTACTACAGGGCTCTTCATGAGCCCTTCGTAGATACAGTCGCCTCCCTCAACTGGCTACGTTTCGGTGACCTCTTCGGGGGAAACCGAGGGTTTTGTCTGTGCAATACAGGATCAGGTTATTAAGACCAACAACTATCGGAGATACATCCTAAAGGATGGCACCGTCGACGTCTGTCGAGCTTGTCGCCATCCCGGTGAATCACTTAGGCATGTTATCTCCGGTTGTTCGGCGCTTTCTAACTCTGAGTACTTGCACAGGCACAACCTAGTAGCCAGAATTCTACACCAGGAGCTCGCTCTGAAATATGGTCTCGTGGACCGGAAATTGCCGTATTACAAGTACTTGCCGGAAGCCGTGCTCGAAAATGACCGCGCCAGGCTCTACTGGGACCGGGCCATCATCACAGACAGGACTATTCTTGCGAATAAGCCTGATATTGTGCTGATGGACCGGGCACAGTCAAGGATATTTTTGGTCGACATTACCATTCCGTATGACGAGAACCTCGTGAAAGCCGAAACAGACAAGCAAACAAAATATCTGGACCTGGCTCACGAGGTGACCGACATGTGGGGTGGTCTGCCGACCGAAATTATTCCTGTAGTCGTCTCTGCAAACGGGCTAATCCCAGTCAGCCTCTCGGGTCATCTGAGGCGACTGGGACTACGTGGCGGACCGCTCCGGGCTCAAATTCAGAAGGCGGTGCTCCTCGATACCGCCCGCATCGTCCGCCGGTTTCTTTCCCTTTCCCCCTAACCCTCGGCCGTTTGGTCTCCCCTGCCGAGGGCCTCCATCTGGTTGGGCTTTTATTTATTTAAGTATTTTTATATTTATTTTATGTTATTGATATTTATGTATATTTATCTTTTCATTCTCATTTATAATTATATATTTATAGAACCCAACCAGATGAGAAAACTATATAGATACCCCATAATAATAATGCTATATTTCCTTAAAATTACATACATAAACAATATAGTATATTTATCTTTTCATTTTCATTTATAATTATATATTTATAGAACCCAACCAGATGAAAAAACTATATAGATACCCCAAATAATAATAATAATAATAATAATAATGCTTTATTTCTTTAAAATTACATACATAAACAATATAGTAGATGGGTCCTCCTAATAAGTTTAAAAGAAAACCTGTGTCAGGAGTCCCCGCTCTTCCTTATCTATAACAGTCATAAATAGGAAAGCATTTCATTACATTGTTATAAATTACATGATTTACATTGTTCTAAATTAGCGGTGATTTAAATAAGGTTATTAATGTTTTACTTGAACATATTCAAATGAAAACGCAAATGGTATGGGTGATGAATGGTGTGTGTGTATGTGTGTGTGTGTGTGTGTGTGTGTGTGTGTGTGTGTGTGTGTGTGTGTGTGTGTGTGTGTGTGTGCGCGCGCGCGCGCGTGTGTGTGTGTGTGTTTGTGTGTGTGTGTGTGTGTGTGTGTGTGTGTGTGTGTGTCTGTGTGAATGATGTATGTGTATGTGGTGATGTGTGTGTTGATTAAATGATTTACATTTTACGAGGTATGATGTAAAAGTGCCTCAAGGTCTCCGTAATTTTGTGTTTTTAACCGAGTAGTTACAGATTTTTTTGAAATAATGGTCAAGTGTAGAAAAATAGCCATGCATTTATTTCCTCGTTCGACTTGATCTGTAATAAGAGACGTGATGGACAATACTGTGTCCTCCGTAGATAATCCAGGCCTAAAAACAAACTGTGAGCTAGAAATAATACTGAATTTTTCTAGATAATTAAGCAGTCGAGTATTAAGGAGTTTCTCAATGACTTTTGAAATCACGGGTAAGACCGAAATGGGTCGATAATTATTGATGTTACATCTATCCCCACCCTTATGAACCGGAGTAACAATAGATTTTTTTAGGGGTGCAGGGAATACACCTAATCTAAAGCTTTGATTTGCAAGATGACTTATTATGGGTGCAACAATAGGGCTACAGATCTTAAGGAATTTGGTCGATATATTGTCCCAACCAGGGGCACTATCTGTTTTGAGACTTATGATCACACTATTAACTTCCCCGGGATCAGTTCCAAGAGGACAAAAGATGTGTTATGTCGTTTTAGCGTGTTAATGGGAGTGCTACTTTGTGAGACATGAGATATACCTTTCATGGCATCATTAGCTAATTGTTTGCCAATATTAGCAAAATAACAATTTACCAAATTAACAGAGTTTGACGGTGTTGGTCCTATGTTAAGTAGTTCTTTGCAATGTGATTTAGAAATTTTAAAATAGGTTACCGTTTTTATTCTTTTAGCAAGCCATAGCAAAAGGTGCTTGGTAACTAAGTCGGGATCTTCGTAAAGAAGCAATGACTCCAAATGAACAATGAGGTTCTTGTGGAGCAGTCTCTCATATGCAGTTTCAAAATTTACACACTCAATGATTTTTTGATTAATTGTTTTGCTTTTAAGTTTTGATATGCACATGAATATAGTCAGATGATCTGTAAGTGTGGTATTTAAAACAGCGATATTTGCGGAAAATTTTATTTTGTTTAATTTTATCATGAATTGGTCAAGGCAGCTGGATTCTCTCGTGGGCAATTTGTGACCAGCAAGTAGGCCGTGACTAGCTAGCGAATTTAGATAGTCAATTCTATTATTGCGGTCATTAGTTTGTTCGTTCCTGCTCTGAACGAGGTTGATGTTGATGTCTCCAGAGATGACTATGTTACGATAAGATTTTATGTTTCCAAGGTGTGCACTCAAGGAGTCAATGAATTCAGATGCGTTTGAGTTCGAAGGTGAACGATAAATGCCCAATATAGTCAGATCGAGAATTCTTAGTTGTATGCAAGAGGCATGTTTGAGTT